TTTATGCAATTGTCTCCTGATATTTACACCCTCAATGACACTCACTTGAAGTCAATGAAGTAAAAAACAGCAATGCTTAAAGGTATTTGCCATGTTTCTTATTAAAATGAGATGTGGTACTGTAAAAGTATTATCATTTGTTCATAAGTAAAATTTGTAGATTCTTTTCAGCATCATCAATAATCCATTATACTTTATTTTGCAAAATAAGCACTAATATTACTCTAGAAGAGCAGGATGATGAGCAAAGTCATAGTCACTTTCTGGGGCCCAGATGAAGGGCAGAGGAAAAGACAGGAGGCTTCTGACTCTGCCATTGGTTACCTAGGCTTTCTACGCCAATAGATGAGTAATGTTCTCTTGCTTTCGCTTACTTTTGGTGGACCAGTTAGAGCATAATAAGTAATACAAACTGAACTTCTTGTTAAAATAATTAAACTGTATATAGGACAAAAAAGAGTGTCAGTGATTTGGTTTCTTAGACATTTAGTAAGAGAATAAAATTACATATTGAAGACAAAAGACTGTGAGCCAGGCACAGATCCAGGACAGGTGCTGTGGAAAAGCCTATTTTGATGTTGTCTGGGAATTTTAAGCTCTGGACAAAAGATTGAGCTAAAATTAATAACAATATCATTAGTACATATTCTTTAAAAGCTTATTGGCTACATATCAAAGTTTTGGTAAAATAGATTTTTAGAATTTTTAAAAATTCAGACTTAAGGAAAAATACTTTCCTATTTGTTGAATGTGGTCATTTATTTTTGACTTACTTCATGAAGGTCAATTTCTCCTTTGTTTTCTTAATCACATGTACTCTGTATTATCCCTCACAAAATAACCACAAGGAAGTCATTATCCTTCAAGATTTATTCAATGTACAAATCCTAATTTACATTTAGTCTTTGCAGAAATGTGTACTAATGAATGTTAAATCCTTGTGTAAAAAGTATAATTAATGAAATGATTTTTAGTTCAACTTATACACGAAAAACTTTACATACAATTAAATAGTAAGGTGCTTTTATTCACCTTACAGTCAACATTTAGGGAAATATTTAAGAAAAATATAATCTTTAAAAAGTACATTCATTAACTATAAAATTGCTTATCTATGTTGTTACTCAATGATCTAGAAATGTTATGCACCATGAACTGATGGGGAAAACTACATCCATAAATAATAGTGAATGTTACAATTTAGTGTACTTCTCATAGGCTGAAAACCTTCCCAAAAATCAGTATTTGAAAACAACTATTTTAGAAAAACATATTTATCACCTCAGTATAGGAAAATTTTGAGACAAGTTCCTTTATGAACCCTAAGAAAATTAACTTAAAAGAAGAGAGGCAGATCTTTCATCTCCAGAAGTATCAGCTGAAGAATAAACTTTATAGGAAAATAGTATCTGAGTATCACTGAAAAAAGAGAAAGCTACTTAAAATGTTTGCATTCCACAAGTGGGTACAGTTTAAAAACAATTCAGAAAGAGGATTTGAATAAAGAAATAAAAACCTGAAAGCAAACGAACTGACTAGAAACATACACATAATTATTGCCTGCAGTCATGCAACACTGTTATGTTGCCTGGCTTCCCATTCTCTTTTAAACTACAATCCTGATTTCCTTGTGTGTAAAACAATGAAGTTCTTAAGATACTCAAGGCAGATTCTAATCAAATTTCACTGTAGAGTTAGCACTAGGTCTAAATAAAACTGATCTTAAATCAGAAACCAACACTTGCTATTTTTCATAGCAGAAGCTTTGTAAGTTGCAAGTTCTTCCTTTTTTTACTAGATTTGGTACACTCAAAATAGCCAGTATTCTCCAACCAGAATACTCTTATGCAATTGTTCATACATGCTGTAGCACTTGTAATTCAATCTAATGCTCAATCTTCACAAAATAAATAAATAACAAGGAAGATTTAATATTTGATTTGCACTAGCTACTTACTATCTTGCATAGTAAAACAGTATTTGTTCTGTGTTTCAAACCATGGGTTTTGCTCTATGAGGTTTCATAAAGAAGCAACTTCATTGTGTTTTCTTTTGATTACTGATGATTTCAACTTAAAGATCATTAATTTTAACCCTTAACATTCTGCTATAGTCTCAGTTGAGTGTTTATCTCAAAGACAGACTTTGTATATTACCATTACAAAAAAATAACTATTTGCATAATACTTTATGATTTTACATCTATCACAAGTACATCACAGGGAGCCTGAGGATGCATTCAGCGGCTTGTCACTCAACATTTCAAGACCCTTCAGAACCAAACAACAGCGAGGGTGACATTGTGCTAATGGCAGAAGTGCAGAAATGAATATAAATAACAAACCTTGACATTGTAAGAGTGCAGAAGAAAGAAAAAATGCCAACAAAAAGAGGGTGATTTGTGAGCACAAACAAAACAGTTTCAATTTGTAAAATTCCACGTCACCTATACAGTGCAAGGTATTTTGCAGATTTATGCATCTTCTGCTACAGTAATCATTTAAATTACTAAGACTAGGATACTATAAGAGAAATTACTATTTTTTGCTGGGTTGTAAAACTTAGCATCAGAATAATAGTAAAGTTGCTCCTGTTTATAGAATTCAGGTTTTCCTCAGCTTTGTAAAATGGTCTAAATATCACTTCTCAATTAGACTAGTCATAACCCTATAAATATGCACACTAAGAATGTTTAAGAGAAAAATAATGACATCATGTGTTCAGAAATTATGTTCTAATTTCTTCCTGTTAAAGTTACAGTGAGAATTATTTAAAGCTTCTATATTTTCTTCCATTAGCATTACTCCAGATAAAAAGCATAAATACTGAATGCTCAGTTATGTCACCTCTAATCAAATACCCATAGCACTTGAAGCTTTCTGTAAACATGCCTCTATACACATTTCCCTTGAGCCTCCATCTACTTACTTAATATTTTGAAATGTAGTTTCGAAGTGCAATATAATACCACCATTTTAAATACACACGGTCTGAAATGTGCAGGAAAAGAGGGAGGTGGAGGAAGAAGAAATGGAGCACGTTGTTGTTTTCATTCATGCAGTATAGTGATGTCAGTGTCTGCAGCAGCGGTGGCAGCGGCAGGAGCCTTGACCAGTGCAGGCTAAAATCAACTCAGTCAGAACCTTGCAGAATTCAATAGAAACTGAGTGGGTCATTTCAAAAATTAAATCAACTATACTATGGATTTTAAATGGCTAAGTGGACAGAATAGATTAGTTGTGTAGTTTTAATATGGGTAGAAAGGAATGAGGCAGGATGTGGGAAAGAAACATAGGAGTAATATAATCAGGGAATTTAGGAACACAAGAGCCTGCATTCAAAATCACTTCAATGGAAGAAACTGACAAAACCACCTGGTGTTAAAACAGGAAGGAAAAAAAAAATCTGTAGCAGAAAAAGCCCTTCAATTCCCAACACAAGCTCTCTGGCATTGCAAATCTGTCTACTACACAGTCAGACTCAGAAAACTGTTTTCATCATGATTGCATTAAAATTGTATTAAACTAGGGATGTGCCATGCTACAACAAAGAGTTTAAGCCTGATCACAAATTTCATTAAAACTACTTGATGATGGGGCATGTAATTCCTAAGCAATTAAGGCTTCTGAAGGATTCAGAAAAACAAGTTCTACTATTATCTGTTAAAAGATGTTACTGTTTATCAACAAAAGGGAAAGAGGTACTAGATTGCCATTATATTGTTATAACAATTGCCTAAACTTATCTGACCACAAAATCCTCTATACACAACCAGCAATGCTTATTTTATCTCTTACATTAGTTCCTGAAGGAAAACCCTAAAACTCAATTTATGCATTATTAAAGCTAAATCACTCCAAAATGTATGTAACTGCCACCTTCTTTTATTTTTGTTACCTCTCATTTAATACAGCTCCAGAAAATGTGCAGGAGAGTTGCATATGGCATTAATCTGTTAGAAAATGGTGGCCTTTTTCATAAAATACAGCCAAAGATGTGTGTTTGGTTGTGGTCATTATTAGGGCGATCACGTTGTTTTCATTCATTCATTCAGGATTTGCTGGAGGATGTCAGTTTTGCAGCAGCTGGCTTGACCTGGGGGAGGAATGGGGGAACGAATTCCTCCCGGTGCATACAGATTACAGGATGCATTTCTCGATATTCCTACACAGAGCCCCACTGCACTACAGCCTACACTGGGGTTCACCATCAAGTGGTCGAAAACAAGTGCCTTAGGAATATGCTAATTATAGGTCTGGGATATTAAAACTAAAAGTCCCAAAATTGTGATCATAACATAATCACTTTCTCATAACACCTTCATCAAAAAAAAAAAAAAAAACTCCATTAAAAAAAATTCCACATACCGCATAAACACTATATAGTACTTGATTGTGTTTCTCCCTTCCAAGCAGAGATTTTTCCACGCAGTATGGTCCCTTCCCTCCACAATGCAGCAGCAGCACAGCAGCAGCAGCTGTACCTCTAAGCTGGTATCTAATAATATTAGCTATTCTATTCCCTTATGGGTTTTAAGTCCCTGTTTGGGCTAATCTTCTCTTTCTCCCTGAGGAATCAACTAGCTCATGCACACTGTCCCTAGACATAAACAAAACCAAAGCAAAACAGAAAACACTAAGGGAAGCATAGAGCATCCACTCGCTCACCGCTACCTTTGACACCTAACAAAAAAGAAACTTGAAGTCTTTACACTACTCAACTGAACATTTACTTAAAAATGGAAAAGAAACAAAACAAAAAGTGAACAAACTCCACATAGATCTTTAGAAATGTATCACGAAAATCATGAGTTGGGCATGAGACCTTTCTAGTGTTGTACTGCTTCGATGCGTGACTATATAAAATAGGGGAGAGCGAATAAAAAGAAACCTACACACTGTACTTCAATTGCACATTCAAAACTGTACCGTTTCCACCATAACTAACGCCACCAACTCATCAAAAAAGAAAAAAAAATAATAATCACAGGCACGTTAGGAAGTTTGCAGAAAAACACAAAGAGGCTACAGAGATTACTATCACCACCTATTCCGCCGCTAGAGTTTGTGTGCGTGTTTAAGTGTTTTCGCCCAGCGCCTCCTTCCCTGGCTACAAACAGCAAACACAGGAGAGCGCTAAAAGGCTCTCTCACTGAAAAACCCTTCGAAGCAGCCGAAGGATTAAGAGAGTATCTGCGGGGCGGCAGGAGGGTGGAATAAAAGTTGCTCTGCAGCCCGCTCCTCCGAGCCCGCAGCGACCGCAGGGGTGAGACTCCCAAAGCCACTTCCACACCTCGGACGGCGCAAGCAAGAGCGGCGGGCAGAGGCTGAGATTCCAGAGGGCTCCGCAGGGAGACGCGCGGCGGGGAGGGCTGGGCTCGCTACCTCTGCACACGGGCGAGCCGGGGCTCCGTCTCTCAGGTGAGCTGCTCCGGCGGTGGCTCTCAGGGGAGCGGCGCGGGCGGCCCTTGGCCCGCGGCGCCTGCTCGGCCGGGACTGCAGCAGGCGGCGGCGGCGGCGTCGGGCTGGGCGGGCTGGGCCCTGGGAGGCTGCCGAGCGCTGCGCCGGCGGGCGGGCGCGTGGGGCTGTGCTGGCCGCCGCGCAGGAGCTGGAAGGGCACGGTGGCGCGGATGGGCTGCAACAGCCGCCCGGCGCCCGCAGCCGGGGCGCAGCCCACGCCGCCGCCCGCACCGGTCCCGCTCCCGGCGTTGGCGGCGGCGGCGGGCGGGGAGCCGGCGGCGCTGCGCCGCATCCTCTGCGGCGGGGGGTGCGGGGTCTGAGAGGAACTGGAGGAAGCGGCGGTGGACATGGTGGACGCCGCGCCGACACCGAGGGCGGCGTGCGGAGCCGCGGGTGCGTGCGGGCGAGAGGGAGGGGCGGCGGGGCGGAGTCTCGGGCCCCCTGCCCCGCGCGCCCCGCTGGCCCCCCGCGAGGGGGAGGGGAGCCGCGAGGACGAACGGGAACTGCCGAGGCCGAGGGCCCCAACTGTGGCCGGCTCGGCCAGGCGGTCACGGCCGGGGCCGCGCGGAACGCAGCGCCGCTGCCCCTGGCATCGCGCTGACAGGGAGGGCACCGGCTCAGATCCCACAGCCTCCTCCTCAGCCCTCGGGACTGCACGCGCGAGAGCCCAGCAGCTACAGGCAGGGCCGCGTCGCCTGCCTCTAGGGACGGAGACGGGAAAGGGCCTCCAGGTGCCCGGATCCCGCGCCAACCGCAGACGCCGCCGTCTCTACGCGCTTCTCACTCGGAATGGCAACTAATTCTCCACTCGCACCCCGCCCCCGGCACCGCCTCCCGCTCTGGACCCGGCAGCTGCCACAGCGAACGTCCTCATTGGCTCTACTGGTCTGCATCAGGACGCAGATGATTGGTGCTAAGCTAGAAGTGAGAAGCGCTTCTCCCAATGAGAATGGTGACTCCTGCTTTGAGGGCGGAGCGTGGGAGAGTGGAACAGTGAGTAGGGGGCTATGTGCGCAGGGAGGGGCGTAAGAGTTGACAGCCCGGGAGGTGAGAGCTAGAGTAGGAAAGTGTATTCCTGCGCGTGCTCCAACACCACGGAGGACCACACGCCCGGTAAGCAGGTTGCAAGGGCTCCGCCCTTCCAGGCCTTCTGTAAAACTTTAGACAGAAGAGACTTAAACCGAACTTACTTTGAAAGCACACCTGCATCCGGTGGGATGTGTTAGAATTAGAACCAGAAGAATCGATCCCTTCGCCTCTAATTTTAGTAGCCTGAGTTTTGGTACCTTCATAGAATCGAAACAACTTCAAGTGATGAGGAGCAAGATCTGGGCAACTACTCGTATAGCTTATGCTAACATTTGGAGTTACGCAGTGAAAAGAGATCATCAAATTCTGTGTTCCAAAGCGGTAACTAAACTGCAGAGATCAAGGAATTTGACGTCATCACACCAGATAGATTCATGGAGGGTACCCTGTTGGCTTTCCCGAAGCACATGGCCGCTTGGGAGGAATAAATACCAAACATAATAAAACGATCCCCTGTGGTCAACTTGTTTTCATTCAGCAATAAAATTAAGGAGGTACAGTAAACCAAGGTTTAAAGCTTAAGCAGGAACAATTTAGAGCCTATATCAGATACCTTCCATTAATTTTTCTATGAGGTTAAAAAAAAGTGGAAATCAGATTGGTCTACTCCGGGTGGCTGTCCATACTACCGAGCTTCCTCTGATTTCAGGCACTGTATGCAGGGGTCAGTTTCACTGCAAGGAACCATCCCTCTCTGCTTCCTTATACACTCAGCGGAAAGCATACTAGGTTCTTTTTTTTTTTTTTTTAAACAATGAAACCCAAGAAAAGTACAAAAATTACATCTAGTACTTTAGGCTTATCACATATGAAAGTAATAGCCAACATTTATTGAACATTGAACATATTTGCCAGCCACTATTCTAAGGGCATTATGTGTTAACTGATTCATTCCTTATATAATTCACAAGGTAGGTACTATTATTAATCCCCTGTGTTCCCAGCTGAGGCACAAAGAAGCTAATTAGCTAGAAAATTGGGACCTAACACAGAAGGACTGGCTAAGAGCATCAGAAAGCCCTCAGCTCTACTGCTGCACAGCTGAAGATGTGGAGTTCATGACTGTAGAAGATTTACAGTAGTCTACAAGTACTGCTTATGAAATAAGATAATTTTTTACAAATGAAGCCTCTACTGGCTTTTTTTATTTTGCAGAATAAACAGTCCAGAAATTTACTTTTTAAAATTTGATATGATTGACCAATTGTACTGATTTTTCATCTGAAAGTTAATGGATTTTTCAAATATCAAATTATTTTGTAAGAAAGAAGAACAATCAAATGGCTTCTTTCTGGTGACTTTTTCAGAATAGCAAGAACAAAAAAATCCCTAACATTAAAATCATATAAAGTTTTTTTTAAAATGCTAGTAAATATCCAAGTTGTTGATTTGGTTACAGCATTTCTTTATAAAAATATCATCTCTGACCACTCCTAAATATAAATATGGAACCACCTCAGCACATTAGATTACAATAATTCTAAATGTATTCTAAACCACAGTCACAATGATCAATATTTGATTTGGATTCAAATGAGATATGTGGCTATATTAAGACTTTCTGGTTTGTTTAAATTGACCATAACCAACTTAAATGATACATGTAAAAGCAAATCTACGGGTCTAGGATGTGGCATAAGTGCCTGCTGGTAATTAATTATGACCTATTTGGAAGCTCAACCACCTTCTCTTTGCTGAAGAAAACTTGGTTGTCTCTAAAACCATTATTCCATGAAACAGTGACCACCACAAACAAGAAATTTTCACTTTGAACAAATCTAAGGTGGACTTACTTTCCAATGCCTGTTGCTGATTTCTTCATACTTTATTCTTTGTGATGATGATCGTAGGTTTTGAGGGTAAGTAGAAGCTTTAAGAAAATGTTCTGCTCAGTAAATTGGAAATGCCTAGAACAGGCTATCGATTGTGTATCTTCCAATCTTTATTATGCTGCTGTGCCAGCTAATGGGATAGATAGAACTAGGACAGATTTTCCCTACTTTGTTGAATGTAAGTGTAACAATCTCTCAAATTTTTATATAAGACTTACTGTTAGTCATGACCTCTTTGCTATATTGTCGTAACTAAAATACAAAATTGAAAGTGCAATTTGGTAGGGTAAACAATATCTCTGTTTTCAATAGCTTTGTGCCTTAGACTTGGATGGGACACCCTTAGCTAATCTGAGCTAGACTTCTGTTATACTTATTTCTTAGTTTAAAAATGGTAATGGATCATATTTTAGATTAAATTACAACTTGGAATCACTGAATACATAAAATTAATATGCAGCCCCATGTGGATAAAGAGCAGGATGAAGAAATGTCAAGGCTACAGAGTTCCAAGATCTTCTTTAGTTCTATCCAGGTTGTTTCAGGCTGGGCATCTGGTACAGTTAGAAATGCTTTGTCTCCCAAAACTCCTGCTAAAATTGAATCCCCACTATGACGTATTAAGAGGGTAAAACCTAATCTGAGCCAGGCATACCGGCATATACCTGTAATCCTAGCTCTTGAGAGGATGAAACAGAAGGATTACTGTGAGTTCTAGCAAGCCTGGGCTACATAAGTTCAAAAACAGCCTGCTTTGAACTACATAATGAGTCTCTGTCTCAAAAAAAACACCAAAAACAGAAAAAAACCTTAATCTGACGATAGGGTTTAGAGATAAGACATTTGGGAAGTGATTAGGATTAGATAAATTCATCAGAGTACAGCCCCATGGTTGTGAACTGCTTATTTTATGAGAGAAAGGCAAGACTATACATATGCTCATGTGTGCTCCTTTTCTCTTGTCCTGTGATGCTGTGTGTCACCTATGGACTCTGACCGCAAGAAGACATCACCAGACGAGCACCCAGACCTTGCATCTCCAGAACCATGAGCCAAAATAACCCTCTTCATAAGTTACTTGTCTCAGGTACTTTGTTATAGTAATGAAAAATGGATGAATGCAGCATTCAAGGCCCGTGCAAATCCAAAAGGTGGTTCATGCTGTCAGCAATACTGATACTATCATGGCCAGAAGAGAGAACAATGAACAGATCTGCACTGATGCTCTTCTTAAGCTGATTAAATTCTCTTGTAGTTAAATTTCTAATAGCAACAACAAAGCTTTGCCTGGATTTCTGTCCCTGACAGATGCTTAAAGTAAGACTCCTTACAGCTTGTGACAGCCTGCATGCTCCTTTATATTGCACTCTCCCTGTGACTGAAAGGTCGTGTCCCAACCATCATATGGCTTACTCCTTCATTGCTACCAGGCCTTTACTCAAGTGGTACCACTTTCACGAAGGCACTCTTTAAAGTTGTAAATACGCCCTGGGCTTCCCCCTCCTTTTTTTTCCAGACCACTTAGCACCATCTAACTTATAAATCATTGTTTTTTGTTGTGTCTACAAGAGTCCTGAAAGCAGAACTTTATGGGGAGGGAGCTACTGGAAATTGAATCTAGGATTTTTACACTGAGCTACATCCCCAGCCCTTTTTTATTTTTTATTATGAGATAGGCTCTCACCAAGTTGTCCAAACTGAGCTAAAACTTGCAATCTTCCTACCTCAGCCTCCCAGAATACAGGATTAAAAGGCATGTGCCACTGTGCACAGCCAAATATTTTTACTGCTTTTATAACTGTTAACTTTCTACAGCCATGCTTAGGACATAGTAGATGACCAAAATATACATGGTCAATGATATTGAAAGAGTGGTAAATTTTAGGTGGTGCTTGTTTCATAAACTAAAACATATCCCTCATCAGAAACAGAAACTAAGATAAGCACAGGTGTATCTCTGCTGCAAAAGCATAGCCACGGGGTAGAAAAATAGCCCATGTGACTACTTTAAACCATACTATTATTTCACTGAAGCTGACATTACAAAGTAAAGAATATGTTATGATCCTTATAGAGCAGAGTAAAAAATATTAGTCCTAATGGTTTCTGGACACTCATTCAGAGTGAAAATTAAATTAATAATGGAGAAAAGTCACTGAAATTTACAGGAAAAAAAGACAACTGAAATTGTCAGAGAATGACAGTTGAAAATCAGTTAAGGAGTAACATCTGCTGATTGGTGGTTAGCTCAAACACACTGTCATGAACACCTATTCTCAAGAGGACTGTGTAAAGAAACTAAAAAATATTTAGTTCAGAAGAAAAGACTATTATCTGTAAATAAAGAAAACTGTTTCTCAGATAAATTCAGAAGAAAGCCCTAGAAATAAAAAGTATTTTAATTTTCAATGGTAATGTTATCAAAAGAATAAGTATAGAGTTGTTCCTGCAAGAAAATACTAGTTTTCAGCTTTCATCTCCATAGTAACTTTGCTTACCAACTGTAATAACAGTGACACACATGCCCCGAGTGAATATATAACTAGACTTGTACCATTGAGCTAAAACACTGTATTGAGTCAAGCCAGCACATTCATAAGACTTAGGAACCAAACAACTCAAAATATTCCCTTTGCATCCTGTGATGTTTCCTTTGTTTTAGTTGCAACCACAGCACTCAGAATATATTAAAACAATCATAGTAGCAATTAAGGAAATCTGCCTTATTATAATATTTAATGATAAGAATGTATAGTAAGTAAAGTGTGTCACAGATTAATTTCTTCCTCTGTGGCTAAATCTTACTTTTTACCTAGTATGTTGAGGGACTGCTGTTACAATCAATTCATCAGCACTTTGATCAGGGAATCTTGTTTTTATTTTTATTTTATTTTTTGATGCCAGGGATCAAACTCATGACCTTGCACTTGCCAGGCAGGCACTTAAGCCACTGAGCTAAATCCCCAGCCCTAATCTTGTTTTTATTATTTTAAATTTTTTGTAGCATGTAATTTTCAGAGTGCTACTCTCCTTGTTGAAAAGGTCCATATTAGTACATTTACTAAGCCAACTTAGTAGCACTAATATTGGCACCATGGAATAGTAATTTCTCATCACTTTACTTATGAAATGTCTTTGAAGAGTCAGACGTTATTTTACACTGATAGGGCACACTTATTGTCATACTTTGGTAACATTAAGAAAGGAATGGGAAGAAAAGCTCCCTTTTAAGGAAGGGCGACAAAAGTATGGAGTTAAGAATTCACAGGACCTATGAGGAGATGACCGCACAGTGTGCCTTGGCTGGTGATGAGCAGAAGATAATATTGGTGACAGGTTAGGAAAGATCTTGGTTTCCAGGTGAGATTTGTACTTAGTGAGTAAATGCTGAAGAGCTAAACTGAAGATTCTTGAATGAAGGAAGAACATGAGTAGTACTGTGCTTTAGGAAAATGAATGAAAGAATAGTTTACAATATGCACTGGAAACCAAGGCTGAAAGATGGTGTGGGGGACTCTGAGAATAGTGCACATGAGTTCATTACTTAGGGCATGGAGGAAGATGTAGAGATGAAAGTGATGCTCCTGTTGAGAATTGTGAGCACCACGAAGAAGGAGATCAGATCACTCTGAGACTTCATGCTCAGATGCCTGAGAAGATAGTCATGACTTTAACAGGAAGAAGTCAGTCAAGAGAATAGGTTTTATCTATAAATAAAAGAATCAGAAGATATTAAAGAGAAGGAGTTTTTGTTTTATTTTAAGGATACTGAAGTTAAGAATAGTAGATTTAGATTTTGTGATGATTCATGTTCCATGGTAGTTGAATCCATGGGCACAAATGAAGCTGACAAAGGAGAAAAGTATCATAATAAAGGAAATGGATGACAAGGATAAAATTTTGGAAAAGTACAAATGACTAAAGAAAAACAAAAAAGATAGAAAAAGACTTATGTGAATACTCTTAACAGAATAGAGTTCAATATGTAAAACTAAGTTTGGTAGTGGTTTATGAGGTATCTGGCAAGCTAACATCCATCTGTCATCTCTGAGAATGTATCACCAACCCCAACACACAGAAAGCTTGGGCTCAACAGCTATTGTTTTACCAAATGACTTTGCTCTTCTGATCACTGCTGGTTTGGCCTGAGATCAATGATAGACTGAAGCTAAACCAATCATATTTTTCTCCCATAGAAATTTGAAACTGAGCAATGAAAGTTATTCTATTAGGGCATAAACTAGGAACACAGTGAACACAGGAATTTGTGCATGGAATGACCCCTTCTATTACAGGCACAGAAAAACACAGAAAACCTGTCTTCTGAGGAAAAGAGTGACTTACACACATAAAGGAGAAGTGGGACAAGATGATCAAAAGGCAAGGTGAAAGCCTGAGAGTCCCCATGATGAGTACTTTATGTCTTATCCATTTTCTTCCATTCTTGAAAATCATTCCCAATCTGCACCCTTCCCTACCCTACTGATAAGACTCCATCTACCTGGTTATTCAGTGAACAAAAGCTGGGTGATATTCTTGCTTTCTCACTCTTTTCCTTTGCACTTCCAATCATCTTTTGGGTTACTCATAAATAGATGTCTAATCTACCCTATTCTTTTCACCTCTTCTGCTATGCCATTAACCACACTATTGTCATTTCTTCGCTAAATGATTGCAGTAGCTATCCAACTGAACTGGACTCCCAGTTTCTACTCTTGGCTCCTTTAGTTTCTACATATCAACCAGTCAAGGTAAACTTGATAATTTATCGGATCCTGTTTATTCCTCCTTGAAACCATTCAGAGTCTTCCAATTACTTTGCAATGAAATCCAAACGCCTTAAAATAGTTCAAAGGGCCTGGCCTATTCTGAATTGTGCCTCTCTCCACCTCATCTTGCTGTTCCTCTCTTCCCGTTAAGTTCCAGCCACAATGTCCACATTTAACTTCCCCTGAAACACCATGGCAGGACTCTCATACAGGTGTATCCTCATCTTAAAACACCTTTCCCACCTCCTTACTCCTCAAGTCCTCTGAGTGGTTCCTAGATTTTCCAGTCTCAAAATTATAAAAGTACATTTTAAAACTGCTTATAGTAAACCTTCCCTACCATGTGGTAAAGATTCTAAGCACAGGAATCTTCTCACTATTTGATCACTTACCTACCCAGTGCCTAGAATATAGCAGGTATTTGATAATTATTTTTTTATAATTTTATTAGCCTTCTACTTATTACTTTCCATTTTTCATGAAAGTTGCCTATGGTCTCATACATAATCCTCCCTCACTGTTTCAATTATTAGATTAGGTTTCTGTCCATCAAATGATCACTAAGTGATAAAGTTTTTAAATAGATGGCCAGCAATATCACATGCTATTGAAGGGACAAGAGGTTAAGTTACTGGAGCTAATCTCTGGTAATGTTCAAGCCAGTAGTTTCCCAAAAAATGTGGTTCCATGGAAACCAGACAGAACTTTGTTAATGAGAAGGGTAAGAAGGTGGACTCATCAATGTAAAATACTCTTTAAGAAGTGTGACAGTAAAAGTAAGGCATGAAGTAAAATGGGATTTTGGGATTCACCAGAGTCAAAGAAAATGTATGTTGGTTTAGTTTACAGAAATAGGAAAGAAATGCAAATTGGTATAAGCTAAAGGTGCCAAAGAGGGGGAAAAATGAAGGTCTGAATCAGGGAGACAATTCATAGATTTAGCTTCTACCAGGCAGTAGGAAGTTTGATCAAGAACACAAGAGTTTCCAAAAAGGGACAATGTTTACCTCTCTACTGTAGGAATGAAGGACATTAAGAGGCAAAAATATAAACAAAGTTTTGAATAACACTAACAGAAGTTGAGCACATCCACTTCGGGAAGTAGCAAAGTCTTTTACAAACTAGTTGTCAAGGGGAAGATCAGAATCCCTCGAAAGACTTTTCCAAACCTACCTCCTTCTCTCACTTCCTCACCCAAGCCGAGTTTAATTTCTACCACTACAATACATTCACTGTTGCGAAGGCCACAATGGCTAACATGAATGTGCCTTACTTCTTAGGTAGGATGAGGCAGCAAACACATAGCAGTTACTGAGGA